AATTAAGTTAGTTGCAGGTGTACAACATAATTACTCAATATTTGTATATATCATAAAAACAGTCATCACAGTTCATACAGTTGTTATCTGTTACCACACATAATTGATATTTCTTTTTATATACATGCTAATGTATCTTACATACGATATATATTGCATACATTTTATGTATACTTATGTGTATTTTGTATACAATGCCATTATATTCATATATGTAGAAAGGATGCTCTTTCTTTTTCTTTTTTTTTTTTAAGATTTTATTTATTTATTTGAGAGAGAAAGAGAGAGTGTGAGTGGTGGTGGGGCAGGGCAGAGGCAGAAGGAGAAGTAGACTCTCCACTGAGCAGGGAGCCCAATGTAGCGGCTCCGTCCCAGGACCAAAGGCGGACACCTAATCAGCTGAGCCACCCATGCACCCGAAAAGGTGCTTTTTCAGCGTGACTCCTCCAAAATGCCTGAAAAATGTCTTCAATTTTGTCTGTTCAGGATGCAGTGAGAAAGAAGGTAGGAAAGGCTAGGGAGAAAAAATATTGGCAAAATGGAAAACATACACTATCCTGGCAGAGCACTGCCTGGAGGACTATTATTGCTCAAATATCCTTTTTTTCAGATTGTTTTAAGTCTCTCACTGAATGTGCTATCTATGGCATATCCACCTCCTTGTGTCCCAGCTGAGTCAGCTAAGTAGGGCGGGGGGGGGGGGTGTTGAACTATTTCATGCTTTATTAGATATGGTTTCTTTAGGGAATGTAAAGCCAATATTCTGATAGTACATTGCCTCAAATTCTTGGTAGAACAAGGCAAGAGTAAATAAATATCATCATGAAATAGTAAGTGTGATGAGAGAGGTTTTGGGAATTACAATTAGGGATTCTTTTATTTACAACTTTTGTCTTGACTTTTTATTTATGCCTTCTACCTTAAGTGTTTTTTTTTAAAGACTTTATTTATTTATTTGAAAGAGAGAGAGAGAAAGAGAGAGAGAAAGAGGAGGAACAGAGGGAGAGGGACAAGGAGATTTCATGTTGAGTGTGGAGCCTGCTGCAGGGCTCGATCCCGTGACCCTGAGATCATGACCTGAGCCAAAATCAAGAGTTGGATGCTTAACTGACTGAGCCAACCAGACACCCCTACCTTACGTTTTAAATGGGTGTCTACCACATATGAGTTCTCAGAGGAGCAAAACATTACTACAATAAGAGTCACTCTGACTATGAATGATGTCTTCTGGATAATAATGCATGAACACAAGTGGTGAAAATCACAATGTTTTGGTCTTTGGCGACATACTGGTGTCAGTCATTGTGGCAGGAATCCGAATGTGCAGATGCAGACATCTAAGTTAAGGTTGAGTCTGATAGTAACTTTATCCTCCAGTGATCCTGAAAAATATATGCACGCTTTCTTGTATTTTATTCAAGTACTTTTATGCCTGCAAACACAACAGCTATTGATTGATTACTTTTTTTCTGCAAGGGTTGCATTTAAAAATTTTTACCTTGAAAGCCGATGGAATCACATTTTCTTTTTTTTTTTAAAGATTTTATTTATTCATTTATTCATGAGACACACAGAGAGAGAGAGAGAGAGAGAGAGAGAGAGAGAGAGAGAGGCAGAGACACAGGCAGAGGGAAAAGCAGGCTCCATGCAGGGAGCCTGATGTGGGACTCGATCCCAGGTCTCCAGGATCACGCCCTGGGCTGAAGGTGGCACTAAATTGCTGAGTCACCCAAGCTGCCCCACATTTTCTTCAATACTGCCTCCAAGGTGAAAGTTTGTTTCTTCCTGTACCTATCCTTATGTTGCTGGAGCAAGATAGAATGGGTTTGTAAACCAAAATTGTAACCTCGTATCTGAAGCACTCAATATTTAATATCAAAATATAACTATGTATCTCTATAGCAGATATAAGGCAACAACGGTATACTGTTACTTTACTTTGGCTTTATTTATTACCCTCAAATTGTACTTAGCCTTACAGAGACTTTAACTGAGCTCATTTTTAACTCATGTCCAACAAAGATACTATTAGTTTCTCAAGAGCAATTCAAGGTATCTTGTTTAGGAACAATGTTGACAACTCTAACAAAAATACCTATTCTACAGGTTGCACTACTTACTTCTCTTTATGGTGGTGGATACGTTATTGCTTGCAGCATTTTGTTTATTGCATTCTTTGCATCTTCTTGGCACACACTAGCCTCTTTTACTACCTTCTATAAATTGGGTGCTCTGTATATAGTTCCTACTAGAGCATTTATTGTAAAATATTTTATAGCCCTTCTGAGACCTATAATCTCTTATTATTTTTCCCTGATCTTTTTATCTCTCCAAATTATGAATTGCTGCAGAGTCTTGTCCCCTCCTTAATTATTTAAATTTTACACTGGGTGAATTCTGGTGTTTTCCAAAAGTTATTTGCCTCTTGCAGCACTGAATCTGGACCTTTCTATGTCCTGAGAGTTCCTTGTCTCTTTTTCTAACCACAATTTGATCTCTGACTTGAACTCAGTATCTAAAAGCTCAGGAGATACCGTGTGACCTTCTTTGGTGAATATACTCTGGTACACCCCTAGATACTTTTCCTGCCTATCACTTAGGATTTGGTTCAGCTGCTTAGAACAGAAAACCTGTTACAGAAACCCAAGCAAAAAAGAGGTTTATTTTTCTCCTAATGTAAAAGATCACCAGTGGCAGGCAGTCCAGGGCTGGTATAGTACCTCTATAGTCATGATGGACCCTTCTGTATATTTGCTCTACCACCCTGGGTGAGTAGCTTCTTTTCCTAACTTTGTTCACTGGTAATTAACATGACTGCTGCAGCACAAACCATCACATCCATGTTCCAGGAAACAGCAAGGATAAATGGAAAGGGAAAGAGGGCCATTTGTAAGCTGAGACCACTACCTTTAAAGACCTTTCTTAGAAGTCATGTCTAGTGACTCCTAGTTCAGTCTCAGAGATAGTTTGACACATTGCTTCACTCAGAATTCAAAGGAAGTTACAGAGGAAAAAGAGGAGAGTGGAAATTTGGTAAGCAACTCTTAGCGCTTGTTATCCTTAGGCATTCCATCTTGCTTGGGCTCCATGCTTGTGGCAAAAGTTCTATTTGAAGCTGGCAGGCTCCCCAGGCTGCAGCTGTAAGATGAAGCATAACTTTTCTGTGTGGGAAACTTCTAACCTTATTTGGAGTTCCCAGGATTCAGGACATAAGGTACCTTTTCAGCAACCTACACCAACAACTAACATTTAGCTCTTTTACCAGGGCTGGTGACTTTTTCTAAACTCTCCTTGTAGGAAACATTGATCACTCGCATTAGCACGTGTCTTCCAAAGTCGTTGCTTATACAATAAACATTATACCTTTATTTCTTTGGAGCTTCAGTTTTGTTATTCAAAGCTAAGATTTTAGAATTTAGAAAAATCTTTTATCTCTGCAAAAGCCCAGTTCTTAAAATTTGATGTTTTTGTTTTTAAGATGATTGTCTCTGCCATGAACTGTAAAAATCCATTTGGAAAAAAGAATCCCTTGAGTAAATCACTTGATTCCTTTAACTCTCCTGTATGTAGTCATGTGAGATAATGCAGGTAGAAAGTTCTCGCTGTTGCCTGATACAAGGACCCTCGGGTAAGATTTGAAAATATTATTTCATGAGTAAACAACAGCAACACAAGCCAGTAGGGCAATGCACTTAAGCGTTTGAGAAGTACAAGAAGTTATGAATCCAGGCTGGGAGCAATCAGGGAAAACGCTTCAGGGCAGGGACCATTGCATTGGTCTTTGACAGACTGATACCAGAAAACAGAAGAAATGGTATTGCGAGCTGAGGAAACAGCACCAGTTAGAAAGGAGCCTCTTTAGTTGAACTGTACAAAAGATAAAACTGCTTTGCGTGACACTGTCTTCAGGCAACAAATCCTTATTAAACATTGATTCTGTCTGGGTTGAATGCTAAACCGATGCTTCACAGGTGAAAAGACCTGATCTCTGACCTTTATGAGTTAGGGGTGTTGTTAAGGAAAATAGATAAATAAGTAACAAGTTATAGTATATTTTGGTCAGTGCTCTAATTGGAGTACAAGGAATAGTGGTGACTGATTAGGTGAATGAATTCATTTGATAAGCATTTATTTATTGGAATCAGTACCCTCCTGCCCCCATGTGACAGGCTCTGGGATGACAGCACATAGGACCCAGGGGCGAGAAGAGAAGTGTCCTTAGGTCCTTGAACTTACAGTCTAGGAATAAAAGAGGAACCCAGCAGAAAGGCTAACTTTCCTGTGTTGCAAAATTGGGGCTATAAATGTGGAACTTTTGCTGTTAATTATTTTAAGACATGTAATAATTGCTGTATTTGAGAAGGACTTTAATAGCTTCCTTGAGAAAATAAAAATGAGCGCTACGCACATCACATTTTTTAGACTTAGTTTTGCTGGCGTTAACACTGAAAATTTAAATGAGAGGGTTATAAAATGAGTACATAGAAGAGCCATCCTTTTGAAAAAAATTTGAAAACTCGTTTTGGAGATCTTTCTTTCTTTCTTTCTTTCTTTCTTTCTTTCTTTCTTCTTTCTTCTTTCTTTCTTCTTTCCTGTTCATTTGTATTTTAATACTGTTAAACACAGCCTCTTCTTTCTCTTCTATTAAAACCAAAACCAAAGACATATATCTAATCATATTTGCATCTCTCCTCAACTTAATAATTAACACTCACTTATTGAAAGCATCAGATGTTTCCAAACCAGTGTTAAATCTGCAAATGAACTTTCTTTCATTTGTTCGCTTGACAAAGGGGTTTATGATCCTGTTTGGGGAGATGTCATGCAGCCTTGAAAACTTAACTAAAAATGTCAGTGGGTATGTCACTATGACAAGGTTGGGTATAGAGAAGCTCCTCATGTCAGGAAGAACCCCATTCCCCTTTAGAGAAAGCTCCAGTCAGACTGGCCTGATTGGAATAGATAGATCAATGTCAATGCCACGTTCAATTGTCTTGCAGGTACTTCATTCCTTTACCGATGCCATTTTTGATGAGTGGATGAAAAGATCCAATCCTTCTGTGGATGCTTGGCCTCAGGAGCTGGCACCCATCGGTCACAATCGGATGTATAACATGGTTCCTTTCTTCCCTCCGGTGACTAATGAAGAACTCTTTTTAACTGCAGACCAACTTGGCTACAGCTATGCCATCGATCTACCAGGTAACAAATACAACTTTGAAGTGGGTAATTCATTCATCTTCTGAAGGACCTTTCTTTTTAAAAATGCAAACCAAGATCTAGAATTCAAGTACTCAGGTTTAGTTAATTTTATTAGCAGTTGTCTAGAATATAGGTTAGGCAAAAGAGCCTTTACACTACCAATTAAACATCAGAGGAGGGACTGATTTGGTGACTGAATTAATAAATAATAATATATAATAAATATATAGTAAATAATCTGAATTAATAAAAAAAAACCAGCTGTGGTTTGAAATGTCTAATCAATAAAATCAAAATGCATTAGCCACATGTGGATGGGGATCATCCGGACTTGGAGAATCGTTACTTGACGGCAGGGCTGGGTTTGGGGTAAGGCAAGTGCAGCACTGGCCCTGAGCACAAAGTTTGAGGGGGGACCAAAAACTTTAGTAATTGAAATAAATAATAATGTAAGGCACTATTTTTGAAAAATCAAAATTAATGCAAAAAAGATGAATACACTCTCAAAATTTTAAATAAAGACAGGCTGCTGTTATTGTTTGTTTTGTAATGAGACCTGTTGTTTCCAATTAGCCCCTTCAAACCCTGCTGGGTCGGTTTATGAGGTTGACCTTGGCCTGCAAACAGATTGGGCTACATGGGGATTCATGTATATGTGTTCTTAATTAAAGTTCTTTAAGTCATGTTTTTTCACTGTAGGTTTTTTATTGGCTTTTTCCACTTGGTTGAAAATATGGGAAGATGTTTTGATAAGTGTCTATATGGGCACATATTTTTCTATTGGCCCAGGGCCCAATATAGCTCCATGGGCCACTTAGGCAATGTTAGGACAGATTGAGAAAGAAAAGATAATGTGATTTAAAATATCTTATTTTGTCCAGAACCCCCCCAAAAAACAGAGTCCATCTGCTGGTGAGTTTTCCCCATTTGTGTCTATCCCATTTTCCCTAAACCTCTGCCTGTGGTGTCATCATAGTGACTTGTGAGCTCATCTCTCTCTCTCTCTCTCTCTCTCTCTCTCTTTCTCTGACTTCAGAGTCTTCCAGACCCAGGAATCTGTCCCTTGCTTTTCCTTCTAGTCCTGCAAGCTTGACTGCCTGTTCTCCTTACTGATTTGAAGTTTCCTTTCTTTGGACAACTGAGATATCTTTTTGAAACTTCATTCTTGTTTCTCTAGAATTGAATAGAGTAACAATCACAAAGTTTAGGATGTGCCTTTGCCCCTCTGACATCAGCCAATTAACAGGCATAGACTGAGAGTCTAAATATGCCCAGAATGTGGGAAGACACAAATTCACATTTCATTTATTGGTTTGACAAAGAAATTCACAATCCTATCTGGGGAGACAACAATAGCTGAAGATTGGTGAAGGGAGTAGGACATTTGGGACAGGCTTCTTGAAAGGGATGGGTCTTTGAACAACTCAAAGAGATAGTGGATCTTCTGTTGGTGAAGCAGAAAGAAGGGAGCATTTTAGATTGAAAAGAGGTAGGGGACAGAGTTGTGAAAGGTGTAGTCTGTTTAGAGAACTGCGTGAAGAAGCCTGGCTGGAGAAGAAGGCTTGGGAATATTACCTGAATTAAGTCTGGATCTGTGAGAAGAGCCTGATTATGGAGGGCTTTAAAAGCTAGGCAGAAACCATAATGAGATGCCACTTTCCCCTCATTAGGATGACTATTACTGACAAAGCAGTAGATAACAAGCGCCAATGAGGCTGTGGAGTAATTGGAGCCCTTGTGAACTGCTGGTGGGAGTGTAGAGTGGTATTTAGCCTCTGTGGAAAGCAATATGGTAGCTCCTCAAAAAATTAAACATCAGATTACCATACGAGCCAGCAAAGGATTAAAAGCAAGTACTCAAACAGATTATTTGTGAACCTCTGTTTATAGTAGCATTATTCACAATAGACAAAAGAAAGAACTCAATATCCATTGATGGATGAATGGATAAACAAAGTGTGGTGTATGGAATGTTATGGAACACAATGTATGGAACACAATGGAATGTTATGTAGCCTTAAAAAAGAAGGAAATCCTGTTGTATGCTACAATGTGTGTGAATCTTGAAGCTATTATGTTATGTTAACTGAAAATGCCAGTCACAAAACAGTAAAAACTGTATGATTCCACTTATATGAGTTTTCTAGAGTAGTCAAATCTATAGAGACAGAAAGTAGAATGGGGGTTGCAGGGGCTGGAGGGCTGGTGGGCTGGGGCACTGGGGAGGTATTATGTCTGTTTTGCAAGCTGAAAAAAGTCCTGTTGGGTAGATGACAGTGATGGTTGCACAACAGTGTGAATGCGCTAATGCCACAGAACTGAGCATTTAAAAATGATTACAATGGTTAAATCTACATCATATGTATTTTTCCACAATTAAAAGAATAGTCATTTTGGTTCCTGAACAAAGAAATGTCAGAATAAACATCTGCGTTTTAAGAAGATGGTTCTGGCAACAGATGCTGGATTGCTGGAGGAGAAAAATTAGAATCTTGGAGAAATCCCTTCAGGATGAGTAAGGGCCCTCTGCGGAATGGAGGAAAAAACTAGATGGAAGATTTTTACATTTAGGCCTGTGCAGGGTTTAGAATAAGAACCCAGGTCAGAGAAATTGAATTTAAGAATAGCTGGCCAAGGGGAACCTGCTCAGTTGGTTGAGCATCTGCCTTTGGCTCAGGTCATGATCCCAGGGTTCTGGGATCAAGCCCAGTTTCTTGCTCAGTAGGGAATCTGCTTCTCCCTCTCCCGCTGCCCCTCCCCCTGCTTGTGCATGCGCGCGCGCGCGCGCGCGCTCTCTCTCTCTCAAATAAATAATATCCTTTAAAAAATTAAAAAAAAATAATTTGGCCAGAATAGCTGGCCAAGAATAAGAGAATTTTTAAAGAAACAACAAATAGGCATAAATATATTAAAATTAAACCCATTAATTTTGTAGAGAGTTCTTATAAAATATATTTGGGCCTAGTATTAGCTTTATCAGGTGGAAAATTCAGATTTTATTCACAACTATTTAAATGGATACAAATTTCATCTGCACTGCTATTGAATGTCTCCTATTACAATAGCGAATCTGATCTGTCTTACACATTTATCACCCTATAAAAAGGTAGAGACAATAGCAGAATTTCTCCACCTGAGGGTTGTGTATTTTGCAGTTCCCCAGATACTACTTTACATCCACTTTAACAAATGAGTTTCTAACTCACAAAAGTAGTTATATACTTCCTTGGAGAGTTTATTCTGTATAAGTGTTTATTGTAAGAAATTCAAAAAATGCAATCAGCTGTATTTAAATAATGAAATGCCGTTTCCTCAAGACAAACAATTGTGGATATGACACATTGTTGGTGGGGAAGAAGATAAATTTTATTCTAGCCAGTATAGTTTTGCTTTTTCAACAAAAATGCATATGAAAGGCAAATTGGTTCATTCTTTTCTTCTCTGGAGTATTCAGCTGATGAAACTCCCAATCATAGAACCTTATCTTCCGCTTTGATTCCAGTTGAAGAAACTCCAGCTTGGACCACAACCCTCTTGGCGGTCATGGGAATGCTGGTGGCTTTGGTTGGTGTTTTTGTGGTGCTGTTTTTCCTTCAGTACCGAAGACTCCGAAAAGGCTATACACCCCTAATGGAGACACATTTAAGCGACAAGAAGTACACAGAAGACGCCTAGAGATCTCATGCCTTCCTCTAGAGAGGCATGAGCCAAGCTGGAGTTCTGACCTTGCTGATGAACAATTACTCAGTGTTCTTCCTTTAGCTGAGATGTTCCATATAGTCCCCCACTGCAGGGATTATCCCAAATACACAGGATGCTTAGCTCGAGTTTCTAGTTTACTCGTTGTTTAACAAACACAGACTAGGATATTTGAGGCTATCTCTACCATCAAACGAAGGTAAAGCTGACAATTTGTGGTATCTGATAAAATTCCCCATTTTGATCAAGCCTCCTTGTTCTGAAACACACACACACACAACTGAAAGAGAAGCATTCATTTTAATTTGCAGGTCAGTGTAATTTGAGACCTGGACATGGTTCATGTTCATTTTTTCTTAGCCCAAGTGTCTTCCTTTGTAATGGGGTGGGGGCCGGGGGTGGCAGGTACTCCTTGAGTCTCCATGAGTTTAGCTATAAACATCTATGCTTTTAGGTGCCTTCCTGATCATCTTTCTGTGGCTTATTTTTCTCCTTTCTTTTTTTTTGTCTTCTCCAGCCTGTAAAATGGACTTGAAGATGAAAATAGGCCTTATTTTCCAAATAGGATGGAAAGTAAATAAATGAATGAATGAATGATCAGTTTGGTTCTCTTTTGTACATTAGACTTTCCAGAATTTATCCAAATCTGTAGTTCTTAACAGTAGACATATCATGAGATTCAATAGCTGGGTAAACATTGATCCTGTAGTGATATAGATGAGAGATTAAATTACAGAGTTTTCTAGTTAATTAAACACTGTTTTAAATCTACTAACACTTATAGAACCACTTCTTCCAGGAAAGTCTGGCTGGGAAAGGCTGTGAGGCTAGAATCCTAACAATCTGATTAGAGTTCCATTGTTCTGAGGTCTCATTTGGCTGGTCCCAAACCAATTTCTTTATCAGGTAACCTCAGATTGAAAATTATTCACGTATAATGCAGTTGGTTTATTTTTAAGAGTTGACCTCAGACTTTACTAATGCTGCACTGTACTGACAGTTATTTAGGGATGCTCATCAACTAACTCTTATCATTTAAAAGCAAACCATCCATACAAAACATAACATTTCAGAATTAAATTGTTATATTCCACTACGTAATCATCATATCACGAGAGATAAGAATGAAGCCATCTTTACTAATATGCTCAGACTTACCAAGATGATCCCTACTTCTGAGAAGTTAGCAGTTACTGAGATGTCAAGGTAAATCTCATCTGCTCCTATCTGGTACATGTGCTTCAGGGGTGAGGCCAAAGTTCTAGAAGGTAGCCTGTCTGTCCATTCATTTTACCTCCTCTCTACTGGAATGGATGTGTGTAAAGAATGGATGGGAAGAGGACCCTGGGGCTAGCTGCCTTCTACATATGGAGGAGGGGACTAGAAGGTGTGTTATCTCCTCAGAATGACACTGTGACAGCCAGAGAACCGGACAAAGCCCAATCTGAACCAAATTTGAGTCTGAGTGAGCCTCATAAAGCTACAGGCATATCTGAGAGTGGGCTCAGCAGATGAGAATCAAGATAGCCCATAGTTCTTCATGGGCTGAAGCCCTGCATGGGCCTTCGTAGCCACCACCACAAGTAGATCTTGATCCCTGCATTTAACAGTATCTATGGAAAATACAGCAAAGTTTCATGAACATACTCATTCTGGAAGGTTTATGCTCTGAACTCAGGGTTGTTGGGGAACACGGTTTTACATCCTGTTTTTAAGCCAAAAGAGAAATGTTGAAATGAAGACATAACTTTTCATGGTAGGTGTGTTTCTAAAAAGTTATCTTTAAATTAATTACATGTTAAAAATAGTAGGGGAGGGGCACCTGGGTGGCTCAGTCAGTTAGGGAGGGACTCTTTGTTTCCCCTCAGGTCTTGATCTCAAGGTAGTAAGACAGAGGCCACCTTTGGCTCAGGCCTCCCCTGGGATTCTGCTTCAAATTCTCCCTTCCCTCTGCCCCCCCCCCACTTGTGTGCTCTCTCTCTCTAAAATAAATAAAATGCATCTTAAAAAAATAAAATAAAAAATAAAAGTAGCAGTAAAAATGACTTTTTATAGATGAATCATATGAATAATTCTATAAAGCAAATAACCACCTCTCTCTTCCCTTTCCAGTACATCAGAATTTTCATTCACTGTATTCCCACGTGATTTATTTAAAGCAAGATCTGAGGTAGAAATAGAGGGTAATCATTTATACTTAGCTACTTTTATCTGTAGCAGATGCAACTTCTTATAAATATTATGTTTTATAATGTCTTCCTAAGAGAAACGATTTCCTAATTTTGTAGTTCATAGAAGAGAAATAAAATTTTCTAACATTTCCTAACATTACAGTCAGTCAATGATGAATACCTTTTAAGAAATTTAAAGGTAGAACAAACCTGTTAGAATGAAAAAATTAGTATTTACCTACATGAATATTATGCAAATCAACTCATAAAATACCTCGAAGCGTTGTAGGGTTGGTTATATTTCTCAATGATGGAGGAAAACTCTCACCTTGAAGAAAATGAATAGATCACTTTACATGCTTATATCCTCAGAATTAGAAAAATTGTATGTATATGAATTACTGTTTCAAAAGAAATGCTGTTATAAAGTTAACATTCAGAAGTGAAATTAAATCTAATAGCCTCTTTCCTTTGTGAATTAAATTCCCTTCTAATTTTAAAATTCTTTGATACTAATTTCTGTCTTGCTTAGGATTTAACTTTGTTAATTATAGTAATCCTAATGAATAGTTTTAATCTCATATTAACAAGAAATAAAAAATTTATTAAAGAGGAAAATAAAAATAAATATTTTGCGGATTATATTGTTTATATGTTGGGGCTATTATTTTTTAATTTGTGAACATCCATTCCCATTTTTTTGGTACTCAGCATGCATATATTAGAATATGTATACATGTAAATGTATATATAATACACACTTACTACTTCACTTTTGAAAATAAGTTCTTAGATAAACTGATGTTTCTACCTTCTTTTGAGTTTCTCAGTAATTGCTACTTCCTGGCTCTCAATTATACAGACAGAAAAACAAGACACTCGTCTCTCCCCAGGTGTTGAGTTACTTTTGACTTCCCCACAGTCTAAAGACTGGTCTTGGGGTTGGGGATGGGGTAGGGTGGCTACTTCGAGTCACTGACCAGGGAGCCAAGGTCCCACAGCAGCTAGCTTGCTGATCCTCCTGGAAAGCCTGCCAATTCAAACATTTTGTTGGAGACCCCAGAAGAAAGAAGGTAGAGTCAATGAGATTATATGGAGTTGGCTTCCATATTTAGAATTGAAGCTTCTAGAGATCAGATTGGACACCTGGCTGTATAGCTTCAATGCCATTGTATCAAAGCACTTTCAGTACCCAGAAAATGTTGGTGGTTAATCAGACAGGCACATAAAAGAGCCACTTCACTCCCCAGTGGGGAGATAGTTACTCTCCTCAATGCAATGGCAAAACCCAAGGTGGAACTCTTCCTATTTCTACAGAGCCTTGCTCATCCTGAGTCCTTTATAAATATTATTTACTGAATAAACTGAACTCAAAGTAGAACTTTTCATTCAGGGCCTCTGGCATCTGTTTTAACATGTGCTGGATAAAGCAGAAGGTAGTGAGGTCTTGAATCCCCGACATGAGATTAGTAACAACCTCTTTTTTGGATTCTGAGTTGTATATACACTACCTGGACGTTTACTCTGTGCACCCTAATGCAAGGGGGCACTTTCAGCTATAGTCTTCTTCCCACCATCAGTAGGCCTTCATTCGTACCATTTGTAGGGACTAGGATAGAAAGTGAAGACTTCATGATATCATTTTAGGGATCTCCACTATCTGATGTCTTAAAAGCTTTGTTTCAGTGGAAGGAGTCAGTGGCCAAATAATGAAGGCAGGCAAGCTGGTGCCTTTCTTATGCAGATGGACTCAAGGATTGCTTCAGAAACTGTCCACCTATGACATGAGACTTTGGCTTTAGTTACAAGGGTAATTCAAGATGAAAATATTCCTGCAACGGGAATTATGCTTTAGTGGTAGTTTAATGAAATCTTGAAAACAACATGCAAGAAAATTGTGAGCAATTGGATAAGTTGAAGTTTTCTAAAAAAAAATAAAACCCAACATTTCTATTCAAAGCATGTATGTTTTATTTATTTTCATCAAGACTGTATCTCTTTGGTAGAAACCCTAAATCCATTTGTGTAATTTGCTTCATTCACTCAAGTCAGACTTCATGGATGCAATATGAATGTGGTTCTTTCTTCTTCAAGCCATTCTCTGGTAAAGCTACCCCCATGTCCCCCCAAGTGTAATTGTGCTCTGTGTCATAAATAATGTCTCATAGAAAGACTTTAAGCTTGACATTTATTAAAGCAGCAAAGCTTTCACTGCCAGAGCACAAACTCTGATTACTCATTCACTTTGTTATTAAGCATTTCTGAATTCGTAATTAGCACAATGACCACCTTGAAGAACAGCAGAGTGAAATTAGGCCTACACTAAAGCAAAACCTGCCCTCTTGTGTTTTATTAGAAAATTGCACCATGGCAAAAAAAAATTGCACGACTGTTAAAGCTCTCATAGCTTTACTGTGGTTAATCGCCTAAATTGGGGAAAAAAATGTTGCAAGATTTGTCAGTTCAGAAATCAGAACAGATAAAGCACACTATTTGGAAGGAAATGATTTCCTGTGCAAGCAAGGTAGTAGTTTTTAAGAATAGTAGTAGTTTTTAGGATTTCTCTTTTAATATATTTTGAAATGTTAAATGCAAACCATAAAAAATTTGGGGGAACATTTCAGCTGCTGGGCAAAACTCTTTTATGCTTGTCAAATATACGCAGGGGAAAATTTATCATACAATATTATTAATAAGATCACACCATAACTGGAGGTTGGGGAAATTTTTTTTTTTCATTTAAAATCTATTGAGAAGCTGGTAAATTTTGGAAAAGTTTTGAGAAGTGTTCAGAAAAACTACTGGATTGGTGAGTTGAAACCAGGCATAAATAAGTGTCTGAGTTCAGGTGAGGGTGTGAATAGTGTCAGGCAACATCCTTCACTGTGGAAAACTCACTTTTCAAGACTACACAACTGGTGTGATGGTACCAAAAGCAAGTATTTTATTTGGGTGCCCACAGGGGGTTTATCTGATATTAGGTGACTGAAAAAGGACTCAAATAGTAAAGGAAGCATGCTTTATATGTAGTTTTTATAAAGTTTCCATTTCTAATATATATACCCAGGCAAGGATTGAAGGAGGAAATACAGGGCACAGCTCCTCAATTCTCTCCTCTCCTCTCTTCTTCTTCTTCTTCTTCTTCTTCTTCTTCTTCTTCTTCGCTTATTTTGAGAAGTTGTGTGTACATGAGAAAAATGGAGTCTCAAAATTTTGCATCTCAATATACCTGTCATTCTCCTTCTCTGGTGGTTCTCTCAAATGGCAATTCCAGACACAATGATGGTACCTGTTTTTATGGAGAGTAGGAAAAAGGCAAAAAATATTGGGAAGTCAGATTTGAAACACTTAGAATGCTTCCAGAAGATGAAGCCTTCTCTTGAAGAAAATCATTAATATATTCCCCATTGATAAATATGTTAT